ATTTCAAACGGTGTCACTTTCACTTGAGTTTTGGGGATATGAGTCCTTTGCGTTTACATCTGGTCCTTTCCTACGCTTTGTCTCTTCGCTTCCTCCTCTAACACATATAAATTCTCCTTTTTCTTTTCATTTAAAGACAACTCAACTTCATGTATGCAAGAGCCCAAAGGCCTGGCACACGACAAATTCCGAATTTGTCAGACGAAATATAGTTAGGAGCTCATTTTAACCCAAGTACAAAAAAATTGATCATGAATAGCTATATAGTACTCACGTTGAGAGAATTCATCTCTTTGATTCCTTCCATCACTTTCTTGAATTTTACTCCAAATGACTCATGACGAGCCTAACTCCAACCAACGCAAAGTTATGATGACGGGTTGTAATTTTCGCACGTCGTGATGACGTAACAGACGAGATAATTAACTAATCAACAGATTAGCAAGTATACGTTACTTCTGCCTCGTTTTCAGGCGCCTTTGCACTGGTTTAGGAAAGCACGGGAAACTGCCCGAGTGCGCAGACTGCTGGATAAGAGGATATTGACAGGTTTTAGTAAACGTTCGCCCATAGACTGCCTCAGGCTCTCATTTACTCAAAGTGATTGGAAAACCAACGGACAAGTCCAAGAAACGAGAGTGAGAAAGATTGGCAGCTTGTCAGGAAAAATAAAGGGGTGTGTCATTGCGCAGGTAAACTAGTCTAGGGCTGTCGGTTGCTTTGGTCACCACGATGCGCGGACTTCTGACCGCAAGAATTTAGCACAGACTTCTTCGCAAATGAAAGGTTCTGGATAGGAGAATGAGAAAGATCGGGAGCTCTCCAGGAAATAATGAAAAGAGCGCGTCCTCCCTCAAGGAAACCAAGTCTTCAAACAAGCTGTTTTGTCTTTGATGCTTAGTTTGCTTGCGAGCATATGAAAATGAGCGTACGTAGCATGAAACCACTTGCCTATAAATTAACTGACATTCCTCCCCAACAATAAGCTTTGCTCTTCGGACCCGTGAATGATACAAAAGAGATGATTTTAAACCTTTGACCACAAGCAGTGATCATTAAGTAATTTTTGGCCACAAGTGCATTACACAGTTTGACGGACAGGCAATGAAAAGAAAAAAAGGGACTAGACTGGATTGAAGCTTTAATATCACAACAAAGTGTCGATAGCAAAAGACATGGAAATATATATGGGGCACCAGTTATGAACATCCATTTTCAGATGCTGAGAGTGAGTACTAAGCTTCAAAAAACTGGAAAGGTTTCTAGGAAGTATTTCACTTTGGATATCATGCTTCATTTTACCTGTTCCGTAACCGTCTTGTTATCCAAAATACCATCAGAGCATGCCCAGTTCCTAAACAGTTAGAGCGCTTGCTATCAGGGGACGGGAGAGTTGGTCGGTAGGTACCCCTGGGGGTATGGCTGAGGACGTCATCAGGTCCAATAAGTCTCATTAACTACATGTAAATAGCCCTCTTTTAATGTGCCGGACATGTTTTTATTCCTCGATGCCCATGCATTAGGTGAAAATACCGTTCTCTCAGATATGTTGTCGAGGCTGGAAAGGCCAACTTACGTCAATGAAAAAAAAAAAAAAAAAAAAAAAAAAAAACACGACAACTAGGCCGCCATTTATAAGAAAAAAATTAAGGCAACGAACTACGGAGCAGAACAACAAAATTTCTGCACAAAATTGAAGGAGTTCTTTTTATTTCTCTCTACAAAACATTATAAATCATCATTAAACATCATCACACTGCGGATTTAATATTTAATAAGCCTATTTTACGTTGAGGATTTTCGTATCTGCTCACGTTTTAATAACGTAAATCACGGCGCCTGGTGTGTTTACAAACGTTTGTTTGGTTCTTCTGTTGCTACTTGCCGGCTCGCTTGTTCCGAAATTTCACTTTCAATTATCGGAAAAAAGCTAAAATTAATTATATTTTACGCATTTGCTTGGATTCCGCCGTACTTTTGAGAAATGAGTGCTGTCACGCGATAACATTTCCAAGATTCAACTCACCTCAACAGATGGTAAATGTAGATTATTTTCTTTTCCTATTTTTCATCTTCCTTTTTCTTTTAATACCATATAGTTCTATTTAGGATGGTATCTGAGCGCCTAGCGAGGTTTAAAGTGACATTTACCACGCTATCCATGGACGTATTGGCAACAGAGAAGTGTTTCATTGAAGTTGCAACATAACGGTAAACTTTGCAAATTTGAACGCTTCGTACAAGGTCAATATACTTTGGCCGAAAAATGTTTTTCCAGAAACGTAATGTATATCCGTCTAATGTCTGATTCATCACTGTGAATGCTTTCAACGGTGTTGGATTTTGTAGAAATAATTATTTTAAAATCATCTCCAACGCTCCATCCAATTTGATATGCAATGTTTGAAAATTTATTTTTTCATTCGCTTCTGCAGGTTTTCGATGTTTATCGAACGATATTGCATTAAAACGCCTTTTTTCTTCATAACTGCGTAGTTTTCTCATTATTTTGTGTTGCGATAGGTATTTTAGAACTGGTTTTTGAAAGGGCATATTTTGGGACAGATTTTGCTGCTATCAGACGTAACAAGTTCGCGGCTCGATATTTTTGGTTTAAAGCGAAACTGAAGCAAAAGAAATTCATATTTGAATAGTATTAGGTAACCTCTACTTGGAAGATAAAAATCGGCCGATTTTAATTTTTAGCCAGAAATCATCGGTCGTTTCTTAGACGCAGGGCCTCTTAAATATGCGGCGAAAGTGTAATTTGTTTCGACTAGTTTCTTCACGCTGTCGTGACATATAGTGATGACGTGTCTTTTTCAGCGATAATAAATATTCTAAATGTGACCATTAATTGGGTTTTAGATGAGTGGAAAGTTTCGTGTTTTCTGGATTAAAATTTCTTTTTTATTATCAATAAGTGTAAAGACCAAAATGGAAGCCTGGCTGATATCCTTCGCGGGGTAATGATGTGATTTGCTTTAAGTTTTATTGACAATCATGCGCACGCGCAAAGTTAAAAACAGTTAAAGACAATCTCTCATCTCAACATCTCACGGGCAACCCACTGGCATTTGACTGTCGTCCGTGCTCAGGGGCTAGGGAATTTGAACCTTTGCCTGGCTGGGGTGGGGAGTTTGAACCGAAAGTGTCAAGTCTTTCCAGCGGAGATTTGGTCGAGGAGTAGAAAGTCACGGTTGTCGAATTTGCCTTTTACGAAAAAGTTGGGTGGGTGGGGCATTTGAACAATTTTGCCTCGAGGAGGAGGAGGGGATTTGCATAAACCGATGTTTAAAAGCTCAAATACCCAGGGGTTTGTCCGCGGGAGGACATCGAAGCTTCGATTTGATCGATACATAAGAAGGAAACTCAAACCGGGTGAACAGTTGAAATTTTTCTGTCTCCATAAACGCCTTGGGGCCGGACTCGATCACGAAGTGAGGCAATATTGTACAAGGACATCAAAAACTCGCAAGAAGCTCAAAAGCTCATTGTGTTCTGATTTCTTCATATTCTGGTTATTTTCTGTTTTATTTTGTGTTCTATTTTGTGTTTTATTTTTAGATTTAGTTACCTTTCGTTTATTTTCTTTGCTGTGTTAAATCTTTTTTTTTCTGTTGTTTCTTTAGCCATTATTTTTTTAAATTCTTTTGATATATTTTGCTTTGAATTTACTTTTTCTTTTAAGTCTGATATGGTTTTTTTTTGCTTGTTTGTTCTTTGTTTTCCTTTTTTTGAGCTTTTACCTAATTAGAATTTCGGTCATTTATTTGTTTGTTTTGCTTAACCATTGTTTTTTTTTTTTTGTTTGCTTTTTTTACGTTACTTGTTTCAAACTTGCAACTCATGGTAAATGCACGGTTAAAGGTGTTTGGTGACAAAATCCGGTATACCTGGAAACAAATGGCAGAAAAAAATGTGAAAGCTGTCACTAGAGAAAGTTCAGCCGCTTAGGTTCGGCTTCATTCAAATAAATATGTGGTTTTTTTTTTTTTTTGCAAAAAAAAGTTTTCGCTACCCATAAATTATTTGATTTACCACGGTTTAACAACCAGTGATTTTGCTCTTTGCTGTAATAATTGCTCCCCCCCCCTCCTCCACCTTTATTCCAGCATATATTTTAGATATCTCTACATTGATTACCACCCTGTTCTATAAGTCTCACCTTGGATATCATTAAGGTACCTTTTGGACCTTGTCATAGCAATCCTTTGCTTCATTTCTCTACTGCAAAAACATTAAACAAATTTCAGATTAAAATCAGGAGAGGACAGGAGAGCTTGACTGTTAAGCGCAGGGAAGCGCAATTAGCGCAATTAGCCAATCACCTTCCAATTTTGTAGTTTAAGTCAAGAGCGACATTAAACAATTTACGCCTCCTTTGTCAGTCGATCAATGCAAATTCTCCCTGTCTTTCATTACTAGGCTTTTGTTCTTTTCTCAGAAATTGTAATTGTTTTGATTAATTGATAATAAGACTTTGTGTCGTCCAATTCGGTTGTAAGTAATCATAAATAAATAAAGTAAAGGTAAGTTTCTAAAAAAAACTGTGGTGATGAGTCGGTGAGAGAGTATAGCAGGTAATTTAGTGTTAACGACTGAGTTGAAAACGTAAATTAGCCACCGTAAAGGATAAAAAAGCTGACGTTTCGAGCGTTAGCCCTTCGTCATTCAACTAATTTATTCCTGTTTTCTCGTCACCATATTCCCACCAACAGCGTAGCTCCACTTTCTGCATATAAACTCACCCACAACCCGCAATTCCTCCAATCGCTCTAACGAAGGGCTAACGCTCGAAACGTCAGCTTTTTTACCCTTTACGGTGTCTAATTTACGTTTTCAACTCAGTTGTTAACACTAAATCAGCTGTAAGTCATCATACTCGTCGCGTTCGTCCGCTTTTGTTATCACTCGTATGACTGTATCCTGCTAACATTACTAACTGTATTATATCGTCTCTGAATAACTTTGCATATGAAATAGTTGTGCTTTTTGCTTGTCAAATCCTTCTTTGTCTAAATTTTTTTCAAAACGGATACAACAAATATTTACACTCACTTGAGAAATGGACGAAGGAAAAGACCAAGTGCCTTAAGTTTCTTCTGTGGTTTGAAGATGATGCATTTAGACAAGCGATCCAGGAAACTGAAAAGGAAAAGAAATAGAGAATAATACATGGGCGTGCGTAGATATGGAGGTTCTCTTCGATTGTTTGTTTGACTTTTCACTGACTCATGAGTGAGAAAACAGAACTCTGACGTCAAAGAATCTATATCATATTTTTTTGCTTATCAAAAATGCTTTGGATTACCCATTCTTTAGTCATCAAAGGATGGGCTGAGAAAAGAAATTTATAAAAATATATATATATTTTTATATGTCTTTTCCCAGCCCATCCTTGATGGCGCATTTTTTACTGCCATCATGAACGACAATCAAAAAGTGATGCGTGTCCACGTAGGGGAGGATAAAAGCTTTGATTTTTTTATTTCTCACTGACTCATGAGTAAGAAAACAGAATTATGACGTCAAGGAATCTATATCATGTTTGTTTGCTTATCAAAAATCATTTGGATTACCCATTCTTTAGTTTTTTATATATCTTTTTCCCTAGCCCATCCTTGATGGCGCATTTTTCACTGCCGCCATGAACGACAATCAAAAAGTGATGCGTGTCCACGTAAGTGAGGATAAAAGCTTCAAGGTATCTGCAAAAAAAAAAAACAACATTATATCGTTGGTAACCGTTGGGCAAACATATTACACGTTGCAACATCCTTTGGCGGGGCCTATCAAAAAAAAAAAAAACGTAGGGCCTGATTGGAAAGAGGCTTATCAGACACGAGGTTTGATAATTCATGATAGCATGAGAAAACCGATTTCAGTAATTGTTTCATAATTCATTTTTTTACACTTAAGACTGAGCTTATATGATTTTGATACTTACGAGGTCAATTCTCTCACGGCCTGTTTGAATTCCTCCCTATTTTTAAAGTGATCTTTCTTCGGAAGTCTGTCTGTATCCATACAGATGATATCTTTGCCGTCAGCCGTTCGAACTCCTGCAAAAAAAAAAATCAGGAGAGAAATTGCATGTATCTACATCAAAACTGAGAGGCATAGAGCGCACAAGTCTAAGACCTGACTGACTTGTAATAACATCATTTCACTTCATCCTTGAGTGCCATCAAAAATAAACCATTAAAGCCAAAATAAGGCAGTTGCAAATAAATATTCTGGCCCTAACCCTAAAGCTTTATACAGTCTTGAGCTTAAATGATAAATGAATCACTACCCAGACGATATAAGGCGTCTTCATATCGATTGGAGTCTGGATCCTCACTGTCAAATAGCATCTCTTCCGTGACTTGGTCATCCTGTGACATATCGCAACCGGGGCTGTCTGGTGCAGTAGGACCGAAGCTGGATGTGGTCACTGGTGTTGCGAATGGTTCCTTGTTTTTAAATGCTTAAATAAAGAATAGCTTTTAGTTTGGTTTTCTCTCTCTAACATATCAATAAAAATTGTGAAGGAAAGACCAGATTTACACACGTCATTGCAGCAAACAAACTAGCAAACTCTCACGGCTTCAAAATAAAAAATTTGAATTTACTCACAATTACATTCCTCGCCGTTTACTTAATGAACAGAGGTAAATCTTCGCACATCAATTAATCTTCGATGAGAGTGAATAATACTTTCCGTTAGATCATTAACTGTTTTTCAAGAAAACATTGTCGAGACAGTCCTTGCAAAACTAGTTCCGCTGTTTTTCAAATGTTCTTGCGCTCTTTTTTCTTACGCGCTCTCTAATTGACAGGTGTCAGATTGTGGCAGATACTTGTAAAAATAATGTTTCAAAGTTTGTTTGGAAGCCTTTTAAATCACCTTTACCGTTACGCAAACGAAAAATTTTCGGTGAGGCATCTCTCTTTAATTTGCATCACCTCTATTTTAACTACCATTCAATCGCTCATAATTATTCGGTTTATAGAAGATCTTGCTGTGTTTACAGCTCTAAATCATTCGGGTTCTTTCGGAAAGAATTTCGTCAAGTTTAAAGAAAATAAATATGTTATTTACCGGCTAAGGGTCGGTTCGTATGGTGAAAAACTGTGACCTCGGTCTTGAAAATATTTCCCTCTATTCTAGAGTACTGATGAAATATCATCCAAAAGCATCATTTGGAAATCATTTTCAGGGATCCTAAAAAGAAATTATGTTGCCAAAGGCTATTTTTTTTGTTTTTCGGTTGATACAAAGAATGAAACGATCTCCTAGGACGAGACGAACAGGTCATCTGATGACATTTCTTTCTAGGGGCCTGCACAGTCTGCAGTCTGTGTTTTATCATGACCGAACTTGCTTAAGAACGTTGTGGTCCATAACAGCATAAAATCGTTAATAATAATGTAAACAAATTTGTAGAAGGGAGGAGGAATTTAGAATTTCAATTTAGAATTGTCAGCTAAATTTGGGAAGAAACTAGTCGAGAGCATCACTTGCAGAGTGTATGGTGAGTTACAAAGCTGGTTTTGAACGGTCTTGTGTCGTAGTGAATATGTACGCGGGTCGGCAGAAATGTCTAAACTGGAAATTTTGGAAGCAAACTGCAGCTTACCGTCGGTTTCATGGTGAGCGTTGAGTTGGTAGTGAATTGAAATGAAACTGCAGTATATGTGCTTGGACTTTACGTTGGATTTGTGGCAGCCCGGTCGTTTTGAGGTTAAAAAATGGAGTGTGCAGCCTTGGGCTTCTTTTACGTAGTAAACCTAGATATGGATAACTCACTTAAATGGGTTTTTTTAAACATGGTAAGCGGTCAGACAACAAGCGATACACTGCCGAAGTATAGTGAAGTATTTTTATTGAGAATTTGACTGTATTTTTTTATTCCTAAGGGCGGTCGTAAATGTTCCCATACAAACTCTTATAATTTCGAATTTCGCCATGACAGCTGGAGCTTGAGCCGCTTGTGTTTGGACGGGAAGTCAAGAGGAATGCTACTGGCGGGAAAGGGACTGTTTAAAAAACATCTCACATCAATAGGAAAAAATGGACAAAACTCTAGTTATTTTGAACTCAGTGTATTAAAAAATCATTTAAGAAGAAATTTCTATTATTTTCTTACAAAAAGTACTCCCAAAGTACGGTTAACGCGCTTGTAGATTATGAAGAGTCCCTCCTTTTCGGTGAGGTCTGTCGCGTGAGTGGAAAAAGAAAACAAAAACCACTGTAGAAAAAAAGGAATGTAAGCTCAACGCGGCGAGCTCTTGGAATGAGGCCCGCGAAGACTAAGCCCAAGGGTTTGACTTCTGTGTTGCGCGATATGGTTGACTATCAGCCTGAAATCTGTCGAATACAGGTTATGGAAGTCAATGATCCAGATTTATCACCGGCCCACCTCAAGAAATATCTAAGACCCCGTTTACACGTATCCGTTTTCATTTTAAAAAAACAAAATGGTCATTAAATCTATTGGTCAGTTACGTTTCTTTTAACACTTGGGGCGGCATCAAAAGGGTTTTACTGCGCGGACATCGTGCGCTAATGCACTTCCCTCAAAAATTTTGTCCTCTATGTGTTAAAAAAATAATAGCAAGTGCCTACGTGATTAAGCCAAGTAACTAAGCCCAAAGGTTTGACTTCTGTGTTGCGCTATCAACGCAAAAATATGATTGGATATCGGCCTGAAATCTATCTAAAAAATGTTATGGATGTCAATGCTCCAGATTAATCACCGGCCCACCTCACGCAATATCTAAGACCCCCTCCACACGTATCCGAGTCACGAAGCAAGTTTTGTTTTACAGATACGGCTTCCGTCCACACGTATCCGATGAAGACGATTACTGAAATCGGAACTTTTCAAAAACGCTCTCCAGGGTAAAACTTTTTTAAACGCTTTGTACGCATGTACGTATGCATGGACGGACGAAAGTTGAACTTTTCGAAAACGCTGTTTGGTTACACCTAGTTGAAATTCAAATTGAAGCCTAAAAATCACTCAGCCGAGCAAAGTCAAACCCACAGACTAAGCCCAATGTATAACTTATACTTCTGCAATTTAATACCTGAGAGTGACTAGATTTTAATTTCTAGTTACAATGTCAGCCCTGGATCAAACATAAAGGCATATTATACATAAAGGGAAATTATTATCAACTAAAAAGGCTCATGATCATTCAACAAATTCTCCTTGTCAGCCCCTTGAGAAATGTATGGAGAGCAGAATGGATAATATGCATACTGATGTTAGGGTGTAACGGGTTAAAATAAGTTTTATATTTCTTTTCATTGACCTGTTTTGGATCGCGCACCGGACTTCGCTAAAAAGCAGGGACAGCTCGTAATCTAAATCGCTTGCTTAGACTAGTTTTAAGCGCATGTCATTTGCTTCCGGTCTTAACTGCATAAAAGTGTGACGTTAGTCGATCAAGTTTTTCTACTAAACTATTAGTACTACTCAGGCACTTTAATCATTTGCAATATTGGATAAGGGAAATTGTTTGGTGGGTGTGTGTTTTTAATATTGATGATGCGTTGAAAGGTTGAGTCTGTCGCTTAACAACGTTGTGGTCCATAACAGCATAAACTCACTACTAATGGAAACAAATTTGTAGAAGGAGGAGTAATATAAAATCTCATTCCTTCTGCTAAATCTTGGAAAAAACTAGTCAAGAGCATCACTTGCTGAGTGAATGGTGAGTGTATACGTGCTATTTTTGAAAATGACACCGCAACATACTTTGTTTCTGTGCTTTCCCGCTTTAAGCTACACATCTTCTCAGCACTGTGCATGATTCATGAGACCTGGTTCAATGAATTTTAGCGTGGAAGCGAATTCTGTAAGGTTGAGTTTCCACTGGCGGAGTCGTAAAAGCGCTTCAAACCTGATTTCTGAAGATCGAAAATTGGGGTCGTAAGAGGCCGGGAATCATAAGCTTGAAACAGTCGGAATCGGAAATATTCCATTTTTTCCGACTCCGCTTATGACTCCGAGGCTTATTATCCAGTGAAAAGAGGATTGTCGGGGTTGTAAGCAGAAGTGGAGGTGCTAACCAATTAACCAGTTTTCAGGCCATCAGTTTTTACTGTGATGTAGGAGACGGAGCTGTAAGCGGCATTGATAGTTTTCTTCAGATTCCTTCGGCTTGAATTTTATTAGATCGTATGACTCAGCGCTTTTGATATTGAATCAAACTCTGCCTAAAGTGGAACTAGCCATTTCCATTTTCGCCATTGTTTCTTCATCATTAAACTGTATCAATATAATGAAATGAAATGTGGATCTGTTCGAATATCTTGAGACACGTTGTTTTGCGTTGTTTTTAAGATGTCGATGGATGAAAATTAGAGATAGTTGGAATTGAGGTATAAACTTTGCACTGATATACTTGTTTATACACGAAATACACCTGCATCTCAATAATTTTGTCCTATATATTGTTGTATTTTTTAATTATGAAAATCGACGAGATGGGTCCTCTCTGATCACACTGGTTATGAATCGGGTTTGAGTTCCTTTAAATTGTCTGTCTAAATCTGACTAAACCTCCTCGTAACTTGTAGCAAGATAGAATTCCGTGAGCAAGATTATTGCTGGCAGTCGCCGTGTGCTCGACAAAATCTTCGAAATTAACGCTATGGTTGTCGATCGCTGTTCTTACGCGTGGTTTAGCCAAAAATCATTTTTAGTTTGTTGTGATAAAAGAAAAGAGAATTGGAGAATAAAACAACTTTTTTTCAAACATTTTCCCTAAACCCTTTCCATGGGTAAAGTAAAGGAAACCTTGTTTTGGACGACAGGTGGCCCCAAGCTCTAGTTGAGAAATGATCATCATGCGATGTCATGCCGAAATTCGAAATTATAAGAGTTTGTATGGGATTATTTGCGACCGCTCTTAGGAATAAAAAAATACTGTCAAATTCTCAATAAAATACCTCACCTTACTTTCACAGTGCATCGCTTGTTGTCTGACCGCTTACTATGTTGAAAACTAAACCCATTTTAGAGAGGTATCCAGTGCTAGGTTTACTATATAAGAACGTGACAAAGCTGGGAAGATTGAGTTGGTAGTGAGTTGAAATGAAACTGCAGTGTTTGGACTCTGCGTTGGATTTGTGGCTTAAGTCCTAAATGTAATAGGCCTCCGAAGCAATCATTTAACTCCGTCAATGTCTTGTTGTTATAGCGGACATCACCATTGAGATGTTAAAGTGACAGCCGTTGCAAAATCCTCTTCATGTCACATTGCCGGCTCGATGATATCAATCAGCGTCTTCTTATTTGCTAGACTTAAGTCGAGAAGCATTTGCTGCAAACCGTTATACTGATGAACAATTGGCATCAAATGACAGCTGGCAAAACAATAAGTACGCTGACCAATACCTCTCCATATATAACTGGCTTAGACTTTTAAGTACAGTATATTTTGGAAAAATGTGATAACGTAATACTTGTGTGATCAGTGACGGAGTGAACAAGTCATAACCCAATTCAAATTACAAACTTAGACAAGAGAGTCCGCTGACTGGGAGGTCGGACAATTTGCAGGCTCGAGTATACATTTTTGTCTTTCCTTGCCTGAATAGACCTTGTTAGCAGGCACATTTTGTTTCCCAATTCAGACCTTGTCACAGCACTCCAGCGAGTGATTACTTTCGAATTCTCGAATATCTTCGTGAGTTTATGATTATGAACAAAATAATTTTCTTCCTTTAAATACATGCAACAAATCCGAACAACAAATAAGGTATTGCATCGGTCTGCATCAAATTATATACTCAATGACTTACAATCAACAGGCGTAAATGCAAAGAAAATGCTAACCAGCACATAATTACAAATCACCGGCTCAGATTGCCACGACAAAACAGACGTTTAACAAAAATCTGGAAAATGTCATCAACGATAGAACTCAATGAAAAGCACGGTAATTGCATGATCTGTCTCTCAGCGCTTTATTTATCGAGTTGAGGAAAGTAATTTCTGTAGGCGCAAGAATTTGTATTATCATTCAAAAAGTTTTTTTTAGTGTTGGTGTTTCATAATTTCGTGTTAGGTGTTTATTTTCTCGTCTTCATTAGTGTCCTTTGTCAGTTACCAGTTTTGTACTTGTTATATTTATTTGCATATCGTATATATATTGGTTGCGCGTAATTTGTTTGGTTAGTTGTCTAGTTTGCGAAAATTATCGTTACATATCTAGCTCTGGGTTTCATGTTTTCGTCTTTGTTTTGGTCACATTCGTCTTGTAAGTATCCTTGTTTATTTCGCTTTGTCGTTTTCCAGTACTTTCACTCATACGATGTAAGTTATTTTATGCTAATTCGCGTGTTTGTAATTTTGTCATTTTCAGTTACCGTATTCAACAATGTGTCAAGTTTGTTCTAGTAAAGTTTGAAATACGAGTGATTAGCGTTTGCGGCTATATTTTGTAAAAGACGAATCTGGTTTATTGGAAGTTTATGACGATGTCTCGCAACGGTTCTGATGTCTACCTGTCTTATTCGGCCGGGAAGAACGGCCAACCTGCCAAAACGGTCCACGTGCTCGTAAACCGAATACCTCTTTGGATCAAGTAGGAATCTCTCTTGAACGCATCCGTGAACTCAGAAAGCGGAGAGGAGGAGTGTTGTCTTCGTTAACGTCCAAGCGTCGAGAGATCGATAGTCTTTTAACGGATGAAAATAATTTGGAGACCGTGAAAGTAAAGCTGTCGGAAATCACGTCGCTATTTCGAAGATTTACCGAGGCTCATGACGCGTATAATGTAGCTCTGGTTGAGGAAAGTCAGAGACAAGAATCAGACCTCTATTTCTCCGACATTGAAAGCAGTTTAGATTTTTTCTGCCGTACGGTCAATGATTGGTTACGTGTCACGGAAGCCAGGCTTCAAGATAACCTGATAACGCATGACGACAGCGCTTCTCAAATTGGGTCCGAGGTTCGTAGCAAGTCTAGACCATCCATGTGTGGATCGAGAACGAGTCACTTTTCTAAAACGAGCTCCATATCTGCTGCAAGAGCCAAAGAGGCAGCTCGCATCGCGGAACTTCGAGCGGAGGTACACGCTTTGAAACACCGCCATTCGCTTCAGGAATCGGAGCTACGCCTTAAGAGGCAAGAGTACGACCTGCAGTTGAAGAAAGATGAATTAAACCTCAAAACTGAGTACGCTAAAGCGGTGGCTAGAGAAGAAGCTTACGCTCAAGCTGAAGCGGGTAATTTCGCGCCTAGCAACATAGCCTCTAGGAATCCTCGTTGTCCCGTTTCAGTCGTATCCTCCATCACTGAAAAGTCAAGGACTGGTGGTTCAAAACGTGAGTCATTTGTACCTGCCGATAAGAAAGAGAAATTGTCTGTGAAGTCAAGTAACCCGGTTAAAGATCATAAGGGTGCTGTGAGTGATTCAAGTTCAAGCTCTGGCAACTCAGGTCTGAGCGACCAGGCCTATGGCATTCTCGTCCAGCAGAACCGAGTAATGGAAGAGTTCGTGAAACAGCAGCAAAGGAACTTGTTACCCAGGAGACGTGTACCTGTGTTCAGTGGAGACCCTTTACATTACTGTGCTTTCATTCGCGCGTTCGAGACCGTAATCGAAACTAGAGAACTAGATTACGCTGGGAGACTCTATTACCTCGAACAGCACACAGCTGGCAGAGCTCAAGAGTTGGTACAAAGTTGCCTCTACATGAAAGCCGAAGATGGGTACGTAAAGGCAAAGAAACTCTTAGAGAGCAAATTTAGACAGAAGCACAAAATCGCCATGGCATATGTGGATAAAGTCACTAATGGTCCAGTCATCAAAGCTGAAGATGCAGACGCCCTAGAAGGCTTTGCCGTTTGCTCTCTAGCTGTACAAACACTCTTAAGGCTATCGGCCATTCCAGCAAGTTCGAAAGTCCGGATAGCATGCGGAAGATTATTGAGAGGCTTCCCCCGAAGTTGCAAGCCAGTTGGCGGGACAACGCTGATCGGATCCTCAACTCGGAAGCGAGAGATGTCTGCATTGATGATATTTCACTCTTCGTTGAACAGAAAGCTCGCACCTTGTCCAATCCAGTTTTTGGCAAGCTTCCTTGTTTGGAAAAGGAGAAGAAGAACAGCAAGGATAGGGGTTCGAGATCGAAGTCTGAGAGACCCGGTGGAAAACAGCTAAGCCTCGTCACGATTTCCGAGACGAAATCTGCTCTCAATTCATCTGCTGATGTGTTGAGTGCAGTTCATTCTTCTAAGAACTGTCTGTTTTGTAATGCAGATCACAATCTCACCGAATGTTCCAGTTTCGCCAAAGTACCTCCTACAGATCGTCAGGAGTTTGTCATGAAGCAGAGGCTATGCTTTTCGTGCTTAAGTGGAGGCCATCAGTCTAGAAGTTGTCACAAAAGGAAGCCCTGTATTCACTGTAATAAGAGACACGCTACTGTAATGCATGTAGGTGCACCAGAAGCTATTGTTGCGTCCGACCGTGGTAAGGATGGACCTCAGAGCGAGAACAACCAGTCCAGTACTGAGAAGAGCAGAGCTGATCACTTTTGTGGCCTAACCACAATGGAGGGTTCCGTGACTGCATTGCCCATTGTTGCTGTGAAGGTCAAAGTCAAAGGAAGTCCTCGGTCCGTGGAGACTTATGCGTTGCTGGATAATGGATCTAATTCCACCTTTTGCTCGGCTAGCCTGTTGAAACGTCTCAGAGTCAAGGAAAATGGAGACTCAAGCTAACCACCATGGATAGCTGCAACGATGTGGACAGTCTCGTTGTTACGAACCTGGAAGTGACTGATCTACACGAGAACGTTGTCATTTCCTTGCCAGAAGTTCTTTCCCGACCTTCTATGCTGTAGTGAAGGACGAGATCCCGAAACAAGAGGATGTGGAGCGATGGCCGCACCTTCAAGGCTATGTATACCTAGCAGAGTTGAATTCCGAGGTGGATCTATTAATTGGAGCAAACGTACCTGAAGCCCTACAACCGAGAGAAGTTGTCCCTGCCTCTGATGGGGGTCCATATGCAACTAGAGTTGATCTTGGCTGGGTTATCAATGGCCCAACTGGAAGAAAGCAAAAGTTTGTCCCATCTTCTAGTTTCTTCATTAACTGTAAGGAAACCCATCCTATGTGTATAGCATGTGCTGATTTTGCAGATGCCACTCTTTCCGATGGTTTAAGCATGTCAAGGGATGACTTAAAGTTCATGAACATTGTAGAGGATTCAGTTATGCAGTGTGAAGATGGTCACTATCAGGTTTCTCTACCGTTAAGGGACCTCAACTTGCAGATGCCAGCAAACCGGAGTCAAGAAGAACGCCGTGCCCTCTATCTTAAACGTAAATTCTCCAAAGATGTGAAGTTTCGCGAGGACTATGTTGCTTGTCTTGAGAAGGTGATCGGTGACGGTTTTGCAGAAAAGGTTCCCCTGGATGTCCTGGAGAGATCAGATGGTAAGGTGTGGTTTATCCCGCACCACGGCGTTTATCATCATAAGAAACCGGATAAAATACGTGTCGTTTTCGATTGCTCAGCCCATTCTCAAGGAACTTCCCTGAATGATGAGCTGTTTCAAGGTCCTGACTTAACCAATAATCTGGTTGGCGTGCTGATCCGTTTCCGTCAGGAGCCAGTCGCAGTCATGGGTGACGTTCAATCTATGTTCCATCAGGTGCGTGTCCCAGAAGTAGATAGAGACCTCCTCCGGTTCCTTTGGTGGCCCCGTGGCGACTTCTCCAAGAAATTAGAAGAGTATCGGATGACCGTACATCTGTTCGGTGCGGTTTCGTCTCCCAGTTGTGCTAACTTCGCCATGCGACGGAATGCCGAAGATCATAGGCACGAGTTTTCCCCTGACGTGGTTAGTACTGTCTTGAAGAATTTCTACGTTGACGACTGCCTGAAGTCCTTACCTTCAGCGGCTGTTGCAATAAAACATGTGGAAGAACTTCGTCGGCTAATGCTGAGGGGAGGTTTCAATTTGACTAAATGGATCAGCAATGACCGCGAAGTCTTGGAATCCATTCCTGTGGAAGCTAGAGCGTAGGGTGTTAAAGATCTGGATCTTGATAACGACGTGCTTCCTGCAGAGAGAGTCCTACGTAGGTGTATCCTGGTTTGTCGAGACAGATACATTTGGTTTCAAAGTGAACATTAAGGAGAAACCTTGTACCAGGCGTGGTATCCTTTCCGTGGTGAGTTCAGTTTACGATCCTCTCGGTATGGCAGCGCCTTTCATCCTTCCGGCAAAACTGCTCCTTCAGGATCTGTGCAGAAAGAGTTTGGGTTGGGATGATGAGATTCCCAGCGACTACCTATCTCGTTGGCGTGTGTGGCTAAATGGTCTACCGAAACTTTCCCAGATGTCAATGGGCCGGTGCGTTAGGTGTGGATCTGGTAACATTGTGTCAAGTGAGATTCACCATTTCTGTGATGCCTCTCAGTCGGCCTTTGGAGCTGTTTCGTATCTTCGACAGGTTGACTCCGATGGCCAAATCAACTGTTCTTTCCTTCTCAGAAAATCTCGTCTCGCCCCTTTAAAACAGGTCACTATCCCACGTTTAGAGTTAGCGGCCGCCAATATGTCCATCCGTTTAAACAAAGTATTGAAGAAGGAGTTGGAGATTCCGATTGATGCAATCACTTTCTGGTCTGATAGCATGACTGTGTTGCGTTACATTGGAAACGAATCCAAGCGCTTCCACACTTATGTCGCCAACCGTGTCGCCTTCATTAGAGAGGATTCCAGTCCCTCACAGTGGAGACACATCGACTCAAAGTCTAATCCTGCAGATGATGCTTCACGAGGAGTTACTGCAGAGTCCTTCACTAAGAATGACCGCTGGATAAAGGGGCCGGCGTTTCTGGTGAGACAGAAATCTGAATAAGAAAGGTCCCCTCTGTGCGGCGTAGAACTGGAAGAAGATGACCCAGAGGTGAAACGAGAGCCGAAATCTTTTGTTGTTCACGCGAGTAAAGATTCAAGTATCGTTTCTATCATCCAACGGTTCTCTTCATGGTTCAAATTGTTGAAGTTTATCGCGCTGTGTCTTCGCTGCCAGAGAAGATTTGTGATGAGGAGAAAAGTGTCAAAGGAGAATTGTTTGGATACTGCTGACGTATCTGGAACGAAATTGGTGACAAACGCAGAGCTGGAAGAAGCCGGAAAAGAGATTATCAAGTTCGAGCAGAATCGCACCTTTGCAGAAGAATTAGAAGCCGTTAAGGGAGGTAAATGCGTCAAGGGGTCAAGTGCACTCGCAAGATTAGATCCGATCTTGACCGATGGTCTTCTTCGTGTTGGCGGGCGCCTTAGCAGGGCTACCCTATCAGACGACTCTAAGCATCAGATTATCATTCCTAAAGATTCTCATCTAGCTCGTCTGCTTGTGAACCACTTTCACCAGAAAAGCGGCCATTCTGGTAGAGAATATGTCCTGGCTCTGTTGCGCGAACGTTTCTGGTTGATTCGTGCCAACTCTACTGTTAGAAGTGTGCTTTCATCCTGCTTTGATTGCAAACGACGACAAAGTCCTGTTGGAGAACAAAAGATGGCAAATCTGCCTCGGCCTCGAGTTACACCAGATCAACCCCCTTCACGTGCGTGGGGATAGATTATTTTGGTCCCTTTCTTGTTCGTCAAAAGAGGAGCATGGTCAAACGTTATGGTGCAATCTTCACTTGTTTGGCACTGCGAGCTGTTCATCTGGAGGTGTGTCACTCACTGGACACTGACTCTTTTATTCACGCACTCAGACGTTTTATCGCTCGTAGAGGTCAAGTTAAAGAAATTCGCTCCGACAATGGTTCAAATTTCGTAGGAGGTGAAAGGGAGCTTCGTGTCATGATTGACAGCTGGAATCAAGCTAAAATTCATGACGCCCTTCTGCAGAAAAGCATCAAATGGGTTTTTAACCCACCCGGAGCCTCGCATCATGGTGGTGTCTGGGAGAGGCCAATTAGATCTACACGCAAGGTTCTGGGTGCCCTGGTTAAAGAACAAAGTCTCGATGATGAGAATCTTCAGACCTTGTTGTGTGAATGTGAGAGCATTATCAATGGAAGACCTCTGACCACAGTTTCTGACGATCCAAAGGATTTGGAACCACTATCACCGAACCACCTTCTCCTGCTTCGCAGCGAGACACCTCTTCCTCCAGGCTTGTTCTTAAAGAGCGACACATACTCCAGGAGAAGATGGCGGCAAGTACAATATTTGGCTGATGTTTTCTGGGGTCGCTGGAAGAGAGAATATCTCCCTCTGTTGCAATCACGTCAGAAATGGTTTCGACCAAAGAAAAACTTTGCCGTGGGGGACACTGTTATCGTGGTTGACGAAACTTTGCCAAGGAATGCGTGGGCAATTGGTCGGATTACAGAGGTTTTTCCTGACAAATATGGATTTGTCCGCCGTGTCAAGGTTAAAACCAAGACATCAACTTTGGAGCGCCCTATCAGTAAACTATGTCTTCTGGAATCAATTGAACAAGTGGAAGGAAAAATTCATTGACTTTCCTTAATCGTGTGATTACCAAGATTGCGTGACTTTTCTTTGAGGAGAAAGATTTCAATTGACACTTTATTGTATTTTGTTGACTCTGTTAGGCGTCTGAACATTAAGTAAAAATCGTCTGAGTTCAATTAGCCCTGTAAGTTTGCGCCTCTTAGTGTTTTGCTGGTAAATACTTGGATTTAGATCTTCGTATTTAAGGGGCCGGAATGTAGGCGCAAGCATTTGTATTATCATTTTTTTTAGTGTTGGCGTTTCATAATTTCGTGTTAGGTGTTTATTTTCTCGTCTTCATTAGTGTCCTTTGTCAGTTACCAGTTTTGTACTTGTTATATTTATTTGCATATCGTATATATATTGGTTGCGCGTAATTTATTTGGTTAGTTGTCTAGTTTGCGAAAATTATCGTTACATATCTAGCTCTGGGTTTCATGTTTTCGTCTTTGTTTTGGTCACATTCGTCTTGTAAGTATCCTTGTTTATTTCGCTTTGTCGTTTTCCAGTACTTTCACTCATACGATGTAAGTTATTTTATGCTAATTCGCGTGTTTGTAATTTTGTCATTTTCAGTTACCGTATTCAACAATGTGTCAAGTTTGTTCTAGTAAAGTTTGAAATACGAGTGATTAGCGTTTGCGGTTATAATTTCAAGTCCACAGGGGGCCAATGTTTGGCTGGAAGTTCAAGTGGATGGACTCGATTGGTACGTAATCATTAAATTTAATTAAATTTAGGACTTTATTGCATTTGGGACGGTTATTACATTTAGGCCTTCAGCAGCCGCCCGGTCATTTTGAGCTTTCGCATCGCAACCTTGAGCTTCTCTTATGAACGTAGTAAACCTAGAAATGGATAACTCGTTAAAATGGGTTCTTTTCAACATAGGAAGCGGTCAGACAACAAGCGATGCACTGTGGGAGTAAGGTGAGGTATTTCAATTGAGAATTTGACTGTATTTTTTTATTCCTATGAGCAGTATGAGCCGCTCTTGCGTGGGCGGAAAGTCAAGAGGAATGCTGCTAGCGGGAACGGGACCGTTCAGAAAATGTCTCGCATCAATGGTCATTAGAAGCATTCTGCGTACAGAAAAGCTTGAGAGTAGGATCAGTAGTATTTTATGGCGAATTCAAATAAGTGCACGCTGTAAAAGCAACCAGCGTACGAGTTATCAGGTCGAGTGTGATAACAGTGGTAAGAGGGTCATGAAAAAAACTCCAAAAACTGCGTATCTAAATTATATCTCGGTCTGAATATGTCAGTACAGTCGAACCTCGATTATCCGGACTTTTCGATTATCCGGACTTTTTCTCTGGTCCCGTTTTTTCCATGAATATTAAGCAATAAATATCAATTACAGCTGCTCAAACCAAATAGTAAAGTGAATTTGTCTGACCCGTTCGTTTGTGCAAATTAGTTTGTCACCAAATGCTGATAAGAATAACAACTCCGAACAGATACATCTTCACTACTGAATTTTCCACGTGAAAATTCCTAATTGACCGATGCTGCAAAGGTTAGCACTTTAAACTCTGATATCAGTAAGCATATTCTCCATACTGTTCTCTATACATTTCCCAAGGTGCTAACAAGGAGAATTTGTTTAACAATCAAGAGCCCAGAAGGCTCACTGTCCAGTTTAATTTTTCAGAGTCCAGCTTTGTTTTTTCAGAGTCCAGTTTTTTTTTCACAAACAAGTTTTGTTTTTTTTCACAATCCAGTTTTTTTTAACATTCCAGTTTTTTTTCAGAGTCCAGTTTTGTTTTTCACAATCCAGTTTTATTTTTCACATTCCATTTTTTTTTCACAAACAAGTTTTGTTTCTTTTCACAATCCAGTTTTTTTTAAATTCTAGTTTTGTTTTTCAGAGTCCAGTTTTGTTTTTTCACAATCTAGTTTTATCTTTTCACAATTCAGGTTTTTTTTTTAAAATCACGATCCAGTTTTATTTTTTCACAATTTAGTTTTGTTTTTTCACAGTCCAGTTTTACTTTTTCACGCGTGGTCTATGTACGGAAACCCCGACTGCAAAGAATTTAAGCTTCGATATGAAACTCAACGCTACACACATAAGTTATGCTGAAGTTGAGGTGTAGCGCCGTCAGAGACGATAAACACGTTCAGCCACTCACAAAATTCCAACCAAAAGTATTAACGAAGCTACATAGGATTTTTTGACCGCGCGAGATCTGGGTGTGAACGTAGCGCGAGCTTCAAAAGTCTCAACATGCAAAACAAACATAGTAACTCGATACGATCGCATGGCTGTTATCTGAAAAAGCGTGTTAAAAACAGTTTAGCACAATACAGTTTTAATGTGTTGGAATCTTAGGTTTCCAGCAACTGCACCCGTAATACCCATAGGCCTTCTACGCCTGAAAAAGAGGTCAACCGAAAAGAAAACACCGTGGGAAAGATTGCCAAAAGGCGACTGATCGCGACAGATTCGAAAGTTTACGCATGCTCAGATGTAGATCTTGGCGAAGTTCTATTCCATTACGCACTATTTTGCTACCAAGAAAATAGAGATCTTTCGAGCAAGATTTAT